CAAAGAGTAAACTTGAGAAAAATGCAATTAACACAATCAAGAATTTTTAAAGGATCAGGGTGTGAGTAGGACTAAGTAATTGGGTATACCATAATTAAAAGGCCCAAACTTATTGAGTCCAAATACACAATGAAAATATACACGATGTGGTGTGAGATAGAAACATGGGCTAATGCTGGCAGAAGGTCAGTATTCCACAAGACCAACCACAGATAAAGATACAGACATCTGTTAAGAGGGTGTCCTGAAACTGTAGAGGGACTTCTAAGCCTTTTAATCAGTTTTCTTGGACACATTCTACCAGCGTTTCAAGGCCCACCCTTTCTGATTCATCCCACCTCTATACTAAGTTCTGCCTCATCTAAATCTGACTCACTTGGCAGGCAATAAACATGACGTTTTGTTGGTATGTCTCAGAATGGCGGTCTCCAACCTTTTCGGCACCAGGGACTAGTTTTGCGGAAGACAATTTTTTCATGGATGGGGGACGGGGGGCGGGGATGGTTGTAGAATGAAACTGCTCTATCTCAGATCATCAGGCATTAGATTCTCTTAAGGAGGGCACTACCTAGATCCCTCGCATGTGGGGTTCACAATGGGGTTCGCACTCCTATGAGAATCTAATGTTGCGGCTGATCTGACAGGAGGCAAAGCTCAGGCAGGAACGCTCCCTTACCTCCTGCTGTATGGCCTGGTTCCTCACAGACCAGGGACCAGTACTGGTCTGTGGCCCAGGGGTTGGAGACCCTTTTCTATAGGATCAAGTCACCAACCCTAACTATGGTGTTTTATGAGAATATACTGTATCTCAGTTGTCTTGGTTGGCATTATTTGGTAGCAAGTAACATCCTACTGACTTGCTTAAGAAAAAACTAAGTTGGGGGGTCTCTCTGTAAGGTTTTAAGGCTATCTTGTGGATCCCCAGAAGGATGAAATGCAGACAGTGAAATACAAGACACTGCAACAAACACTGCCAAATTATCAGGAATCAAGAAAGCCATTTTCTTTTTCTTCTCGGGTTGAATGTCATCTTTGCTTTCTCTGCCTCCCATATATGTTCCAGATGTGACCTTCCAAGACGTCAGTTTTCCAATCCCAAATTCTCAGGAGAAATCATCTAATTGGCTCAACTTTGACCAGATGTCCACTCCTTGTCTGATTTCTGAACAGCTCCTCATGGAAGGTGGCAGAAAGTAATGCTCAGAAAAGGGATGTAAGTTGGCAGGTATCCTAAAAAGTCACTAAGCCAATACTTCCTGTATTCCCTGTTGTCTATTAATCGGAGGCTTAGACTTTTTTTGTGGGAGAAGGGTGGTGGGGAGAAATAACTGCATTTCTCTGATGGCCTTTCCCAACCTTAAAAACCACTTCAATACTAAATTTTATCTTTCAGTCAAAATGAACCTGAAGATTCTCCGGCTGGTTTTTAGAAATGTTCAAATACGATAGAATCTTACATAGGGGTATAATATCCTCAAGAAAATACACATCTATGTGCCTCAGTCTTTTCTTCTTATTCCATCCTTTTCTGATAGGGCAGTCACTTCAGACACTTTATCCACTATCAATTTAGGTCTCAACTGTTCTTTTCACATTTTTGCATTATAAACAAGACTCCCCCTCATTTTGGAAAAATTAATGCATGAACCATAGTCAAACAATGAAAATTCTAAAACACTTCACTACAGAAAAATGGAATCTCCACAGTTAAGCGGGGGAGGAGGGCATTGGAAGGTTACCATTTGAATCTCTACCATAAGTCAGGCACTATGCTAAATTGCTTATATTTTAATACAACAATTCTATGAAGAGGGAGTACTATTGTTAGCCTCTTCATGAATGATGAAAATCAGGTTTTAAGAAGGTAAGAAAACTATCAATATCATACATCTAGTATGTAGCTTAGCATAGATTTAGAAGAGTTAAAAGGTGAAAAATGGAGAGAAGGGCTGAAGGAGATAGGCCTTTTCTCAGGATATCATTCTTAACATCAAAAACTGTATCCTAAACATATTTAATGCAATGAAGTGGCATGACTCGTTACATAATATACATGACAGCTTTTACAGTTTTAAAAATATATTCGTATCATCAAGACTTCATAACATCAAATAAAAGCAACAGGGGGGGAAAAAAAACTTTGTATACCCTTTAGACTCCAATTATGTGTATTAAACTCCGCATATTTGGCCAGGCGTGGTGGCTCACGCCTGTAATCCCAACACTTTGGGAGGCAGAGGTGGAAGGATCACTTGAGCCCAGGAATTCAAGACCAGCCTAGGCAATATAGTGAGACCCCATCTCTAAAAAAAAAAAAATTAAAATTAGTCGAGCATGGTGGTGCGCACCTGTGGTCCAAGCTACTTAAGAGGCCGTAAGTGGGCAGGATTGCTTGAGACCAGCAAGTGGAGTCTGCAGTAAGCCATGATTGCACCACTGCACTCCTACCTGGGTGACAGAGATAGACCCTGTCCAATATAAGGAAAAAACAAACAACAAACCCTGGACTTGAATGAATTTTTCTGCGGAGGTGTAGGATCCCAAAAAAACTAGGAATCACTCATAAAAAAAATAAATTCTTCTCTTTTGCAATTTGGCAGCCTCTCTTAAAAATTTTATCCACTCTGTCCCTCACAAAGTACCCCCATCACCCAACATACCACACTGTACCTTTCCAAACGCCATTTCTGCTGCTGAGTTTCCTAGACTTCATGCAGAATTCTCCCTCTTTTAGGTTTCTACAGTACTTTGCATCTGCCACCAATATATATTTACATCATATGCAAATCTGTCTGAACAAGGCAAAGCGTCAATGTATTTTTGTTTCAACACTAAATAAAATTGTGATTTCACTAAAATATCAAATTTTGTGCCCAAGATATCAATTAATTTGTTTCGTGCTTATTGTCAGACAACAAAAGACTTAGTACTCATTCATGGCAGTAAGTTTTAAACATACTGTTTAGTGAAAAATAATTTTACAATGAAAACGATTGTTACCAGCTTCATATAATTAAAACTGAAAACCAAATTCTTTAACAGGTAGCATAACATGTCAGTGTATATATTTTAAAACCAAATGTTATTCCATAATCATTTATGCAACAACCCCAAATTTCAAATATTGAACACAATACAAATTTTTCAAAAAACAAAACTTTTGGATCTCGAGTAGGCAGTACTGGAATTTAAACTACAATCAAGAGCCTAAGGGGATGCTTGCTGTATTTTTAGTGATTGTAACACAGTAGTGTTTAACAGAACCACTTGAGCAGCTGTTTCAAAACACATATACACTCCATCCCCAGAGATGTTGATTGAGTAAGCTGAGGCGGCTTACCAGGCCTATGGAATCTTTAAAATGCTCCCCAGCAATTTCTGATGAACAATACTGTTTCAGAACTATTTTCTATGAAATAGGTTTGACATGCTTTCAGCTTGTATGTGTATTTTTAAGTATCTTAAGCATTGCCACTATTTTGAAAGACCAAAGTTATTTACAGGGCATCCAACTTTCTGTGGTAGGTGTAGCTCCTTTAAAAGGTTATGTGCTTTTTGGTTGAGTCACTTTTCAATAATTAAGCCTCAATCTATAGAAAATCAGATGCTCTTCAAGTGATTATTTTCTTAAATTAAAATTTGAGGTATAATCGAGTCCACTAAATGTTACAATAGGATTTGTACATAAATATATTCAATATGCACTAACTCTAGCCTTTACAAAAATAAAGCAATTAACACCTATTAGAGTATACCTACCCTGAGAAATATTATACTCATATACAATATTAATAGATTTTATAACCAGAAAAAGTTGACATCAGAGCAAATCTTCAAATGTTGTTTCCAGAGTATATTCAACATTTTAAAATATAAAAATAGAAATATTTAAAATTATCTACACCGAGGTTACATAACTTTGGTAAAAGTTCCAAAGTTCACTAATATATTTCCTAGTGGGCACTAAAATAATCTAAAATTTTAAATAATTTTCAAGCCTACTTATTTTCTTCATTGCATTCATTCTCTATGAATTCATAACATATGCATGGACACCTATGGATTCAAAGTACACCATAAACTTACTGTAAAAATTCAGTATTACTTAAAACATCTCTACTATCACTCAAATGGTTTAATTTGACTTAATGGGCAGTTTGCTCAAATGAACCACCTGCTGCTCACTTCATTCTCTTCACATTAATCTTAATTTAAACATTCTAAAAATTACCTAAAGGAGTTTAAAGATTCAAAATCTAATCCCTGTAACTTCAAAATAATTGTAAATTCTAGTGGTTCATTTATATTATTCCAAGTAGAACTTCCTATTTTACATCACAAGCTTAAGTCTCACATTTAGAAAAACTGTCCATGTTTATGCGTGTCTAGAGTTCTCCAATGCAATCAGCTATTACAGACAGAGTCAGACTGGGCCTGGAAAACAGAAAATGGACATATTTACCCCCACTGTATACATGTGTTAATAAATTTGATTTTTACTTTAAAATATCTAGAATACACAATCACATTAATACTTTCTTCCTACTCTGCCTTTATCATGATCAAACACATGCAAATTCAAAACACAACTTTTTCAAGTAACTCCTGCCATGGTTACCAACGCTTGTCTTATCATTTTCAGGAGCTTAAACGTAAATTCGGGTTTTCGATAAATCAAACTATTCTGCATTGCTTTAAAACGGGAAACAAAAAAAATTTGCAAAATGGTACTGATAAAACTGATATGAATCAATGTGGGCTAACACTAAGACTTTTTTTCAAAAATTGTATTTAATAAGCTCAATCTTATTTACTCTAAGTAAAAAATTAGTAAATGACCAGTGTCTCCATATATCTCTTCTTCAAATAAACATGCCTGTTTACAATTCAGTGTCTAAAATCAAGAATCTAAAACTAAAAAGCCAAGTTGAAGAAAAATAAACCACCAACTCTTACCCCATACCACTGCAATATTTTTAATGCATAGGAATACAACAAACTCAAAAGAAAAAAAAATAGTGTTTTATTAACTACCACACTGTTATAATACACTTTAAACGTACAATAAGGTAGCCTTTAAATTTGAGGTGGTCTTAAGAATAACAAATGAACACAATTCCAAATTTTTGAAATAGGTGAACTGCTGCAGTTACAGGTATACATTTAGGAAAATTGTATAGCTCTTACAAGACCAGCAATGTAACTTTATTTTGTACATTTTTAAATTGAAAATATAAACAATAATTAAAAAATAAAAAGAAAATACAGCATAATAAAAAACATACGTTTCTCAATTAAATGTACTGGATACATATAAATTTTAAGGGAAGAAGCAAAAAAGGAAAATGATTGATATTTAAGTGCAGACTGACTACCTAGACAAAAAAAAAAAAAGACTTAAAAAAATATCATAAAACCTCTAGTTTTTCTATGACTAATATCCATATGGTTGGAGTATCGTCACTATGGAAGTGATTTTGTTATGTTTGCATATGTTATACTTTACTGGTAATTTACATGATGGCTTTTAAGGCCCTGGGAGACATATGGTTTTTGGAAACAAGATTGGATAAAAATCACTGCTAAGACGCAATACACCTTATTTTTTTGGTCCTCCAATAGTCAAGAAAAGGGATAATTCACTATAACATTCTCTTACCACCCAAATGCCTCAACTTATACATTTTAAACTTTTTCAAACATTGGTTATATTGCCCAACTTCGTTATTGAAAGAATATTAACAAGACATTATTTTGGCAAATTAAATCTTAAACATGGCTTTTCAACAGGATTTAAAAGGTGACTATCCCTAGAGTTCCATGTTAAAATGTAGTTTTCAAAATCTTACAAGAGTAATGCTTAAAATATTGTACATAGTTAACCTAATTAAAATAATTAGCCTCAAAATGACAAATTGATAAGCTAAGTAAAGCCTACACTATGTAACATTTGCTTGGAAACTTGATTTGTCAGTTATGCATAATAAAAATTCCAGTCATCAAGAAAATTACAAAATTTTTTATCATAACATGATTTCTTTCACCCACCAGCTTTTTTATCTTACAATAGATAAATACCAACATGTTCTCATTTTTACACTAAACCACACAGGATTGATGCATTTGGTTAGACTACCATTCGCATTGTTAAATTCAATTTTCTCTTTATATAACTTGGTAAAATTTCATTTCTTCTAGATTCCAAAAGTACCTACAAAACCCATGCAATTTTACCATTTTTAATATACTATGGAATATCATACAAAGTAAGGCATTTCAGTGTCATGTATAACCAAGTTACTGTCAATCCAAAAATTTTTGCACATCAATAAAAAGATATCTAAGAACTTAGGAACAATATTCTTCTCACTACTGTATAAAAATAACCACAATGAATAAGTATTTGTGTAATATTTACTCCATTGTCTCATTTCCAGAAACTGTGACAAGCTGTAAAGGTATTTCAGTGTTGGTAAGGATATCTTGATTGCTGGTGGCGGAAGTATTAACAGTTCCTATCCCTGAAACAGAACCTTGTTGAATATTTGCAAGGATAAGCGTTGTTCCTCCTGCAGTAATCAAAGTATCATCTCGCGCAGCTTCCACAGATGCCAGCACTGTACTGCTAGAGTGAATACCTTTTTTATTCTGGTGTGTTTTAATATGTTTGGCAAGATGGTCACTTCTCATAAAGCGTTTTGAACATTCTGGACAAACAAATTTCTTCTCACCTGTTAGGAAAAAAATTAAGTTACTTGGTTTTAAAAATTCAACTTTAACAGCTCAATCATTTCCCCCAAAACATAAAGTCAGTCAATGCTGACAGGTAAGGATGGGAGCAGGGGTCTATTAAAACTGTATTCATTTTACAAGCTACCCCTGCCAGATTTCTCTTACAGAATATTTCTCCTTAAAATAAATCATCTTTACTTTTTGATGAATAGCAAAATTCAAATATGTATTATATAATAGATGGATATTCAAATAAAACTTTAATATCTCAACTATGCTGTTTTAAATACCTGTGTTAAGATGTCAGCTAAAAAAAATCATCTACAACACATTTTAAAGTCTAAATAAAAGTATATTCTTTCACACTATAACTAAAATACTAACGTGCCATGTTCATGATACTAAACCTTCAACTCTTAAATATAATTAAAGCAACAGGGTATTTCCAGATTAAAGAAATGACACGACAAGCTTGAGATCCAAAGAGTAAGTAATCCGTAGAAAAAATGAATCTGGCTAGCTGACTTGATTTCAGCTACAACAATCAAGAACAAGGATAATTAATGTCAAGATGTTAAAGTTGATAAAACCCTGATGCCTAAATTTATTTCCCAGCATGAATAAGTTTAAATACAAAAGACAGACTGAACTTCTATTATGTTGAAGACCGACTCTGCAAGAGGATTACCAAAAAAGACAAAAGGCCAACCTAAAACGAATTCAGAGAGAAATAAATAAAAATCAATAAATCTAGGAAATATTTTCTTAATTCTTTTCTTCAAAAATGTCTTACCCTGTATCTTTTGTTCTAGCACCTCTACTCTACATAGGTCTTTATCAGACCTCATGCTTGAACTATATTGCAGTCACATCCTAGTCTGTCTCTCTCGACATTATTTACCTTAAAGACCAAATTTTATTACATCAGAAAACTTCAAGATTATATTAAGTGATACGGAAATGCAAGGGTAACTTGCAGATGATGTAACAGTTTAGATGCTCCACTGCCTAATTTACAAGGAACTTTAAAATGTGCCTCAATCCTACTTAATTGAAATGTTATGTAAAATCTCATCCTCATTCACCGCTACAAAAAAAAAAGGGGGGGGGGTCTCTCACTTCTTCTATTAACATACCACCGTTTTTCTAGGAAAGTATTTCCCAGTTTCTCTTCTAACATTAGTCCTGAGAGGTACTCCATGGCAAACGGCACAATGATCAAACAAGGTTAGGAAATGCTACACACGTTACATCACTAATTTATAGATGCAAGCTGTCCATCTAGCTTTTAAAGGTCTTAAGAGGTACTGCCTTGAAGGTACTTTAGCCCACTATTTCCTACACTTGTTTGATCACTGACCTTTTTCTCCCTTTTACATTATTCCTTTTTACAACCTGCTGATAAAATCCTACTGAGGAAAATTCTGTTACAGGGCCATCGTAAGGTCTATTATCCCATACTTTACTATCCCAAGCAATAATTACCTGTTTCTGAGCCTTTTCAACAGCAGACTGCAATGCAAAATCTTTTATCTACCTTTTTTTTTTTTGGAGACAGGATCTCACTTTGTCACCCAGGCTGCAGTACAGTGGCATGACCATGGCTCACTGCAACCTCAGCCCCCTGGGCTCAAGCAATCCTCCCACCTCAGCCTCCTGAGTAGCTGGGACTACAGGCACACACCATCACGCCTGGCTATTTTTTGTCTTTTTAGGAGAGACACAGTTTCGCCATGTTGCCCAGGCTGGTCTCAAACTCCTGAGGCTCAAGAAATCTGCCTTCCTTGGCCTCCCAAAGTGCCGGGATTACAGGCATGGGCCAGCACGCCCAGCAGCCTTATCTACTTTAATTGTCTGTTGCAGTTTCATATAGGTTAATTTCATCTCTCTACCTACCCAATGAGAGACAGGAACTAAAACAATTAGAGCATCTGTGTACTACTACAGACCTCATAGGTAATTTTATACAATACTGAAGGGCCAAAGTAGGAGATGTGAAGCAATGTCAGAGATAGTTTATTCGCTTAACCTAATAGGGAACTTGGGTTGGAATCCAGATGACTTCAAAATCCATGTTGTTCTCCATTTCATCACGCTTCTTCCAAGCTCTCTAGGGATTGTAAATACATATTTTTCAATTCTCCAGTGTTGAGCATAGACTGATGAACACTTTAATCATTTACATGGTAGTAGGAGAAAACTATCTCTCTCTAAGTTAATACTGTTAGGTTTCAGTGTAGATCAGTCATAGGTCCATTTCATTTAACAACCACACAACACTATGTAAAAATAATATGATGAGAGAAAGTCTTCACATCAACATTGCCTTGGTTACTCCTCAGTGAAATACCTTTCCCTTACCTCCGAGATACTAAAAACAAAAGAAAAGGTGAAATGCCCAAATATATCAGAAGAAACAGAAATATTTTTTGTTACAGTGTTAAGGGGAAAGAAAAGAATAGGATAAATCAAGAGTAAAAGCTGATAACTAATTAAAAATGTTAACAGAATAAAAATAGCATAAATGTGGCTTAAAGCATTCAATAATGTCAACAAAAGCTACCCAAAGTCTACTTAAATAAAACTTTATTTTAGAAGATAAGCCATACTGACTTGTTCTTTGGAATTTGTGATATTAAGATGGTGTTCCTAAAGGTAAAAACTGGATGTAATTCATTGTATTTTAAAGATTCAATTCAGTAAGAAATGCTAATTAAAAAAAAAAAATGTCAAGGCAGTTATGTAGCCCTATAATTCATTTTTGTCTGTTAAAAGTAAATATTAGTAACCTGTATGTGTTCTTCTGTGCCTCTGTAATTCATCACTTCGAGTAAATCTTTTACCACAGTACATCCAGTTACAAACAAAAGGGCGTTCTCCAGAATGCCAACGCAGATGAGCTCTCAGATGTGAGGTCTTCCCATAGACTTTACCACATCCTGGTATGTGACAAATGTGTTGCTTCTTTTTCCCAAGATTGGTACCTCTAAAAAACACACACAGAATAATATATACCTTATATGAAAATATTCAAATGGACATTACCATTTATATCATATACCCCCATGTTGAATTTTAAATAGAAGACATTATCATTATGAAGTCGATCAGAAACCAAAACCATTTAATATCAGTTTAAATGAAAATTTATGTATTTCAGGCATATACATTTTATATATTAACCTTACTCCCGAATTAATGTGATTGCTGTCCAAATGTAAATATGCTCAAGAATTATGTAATTAAAAGGACATTTCATATGTAAAGAATGTACAATAAAGCTATTTATTCTTCTATCAGAACCATTCACAAATTCTATGCATAAGCCTTATCCAATTAATTATATAGGAAACTAAATGTGGTCTGTATTCAAAAGTCATGGTGTCAGATAATCAAAAATATATTTAAACCAAAGAATGAATGCATAACTGATCACAGGTACAATTAAAAGATACAGGAAGCTTTAGCAGACTTTAACATGATTTAAGAGTATTTATTCATATTTGTGTGGCCACACCCTGAATATACACTGACTTGGAGAAAGCTTTTTTTAAAATCTAGCTAAAGCAATGGTCTGAACTCCCTTAGCATTAGATGAAATAAATATAAATCAAAATTATCTTTACATTTAAAATTCCCATCATATTAACCATGTAAAAGCCAAAATTAGACACAAGAGATAAAATACAGTTTTCTCCACATCACCAAATTTGACATTTATTACATTTCAGTATCTGATACCAAGAGCAGGGTTTAGAAGATATGAGATTAGATGGGTGAACAGAGGTATCTTAGCCTAAGCAAGAAGAAAACTTTTGATTCCAGAATTTGATAATCTGAATAGTATTAAACACTACAGAAAATGTTATTTCTCAACCTTTTAAAATAAATTTTAAAAAATTAGGCTAGTTACTGAATAAATTATTTTTAAAAAACATGACACTTTGGACAAAACAACTTTTATAAACTTTACAATGTTTCTGAGTTTTTTTTTTAAAAAGTACATTTAGCCCCCTCCCCAACTCCCCTCCTCCCCCAGTCTCACAGTTTAGTCATATCCTGTAAAACTTTCTACAGCCTGTAAATCCTCCTGTATACAATACACCTATCGTTTTTCAAATTTACTGGAAAAATGCATATTTCCCCACATTTATATTTTAATGTACTCACACTCAGTAGCATGTGAAATTGCCATAGGACAAACAGTGCTAAACGGTGCAGTGCTGGCTGTTAGATGCCATAGGTGTTCTGAACAGGGAGACATCAATGTGGGCTCCAGTAGTTAGAGAAGGCTTCGTGGAGGAGGTGGGTAGGATTTAGATAGAAAGGAGGGAAGGCATTCCAGGCAGAGGAATAGCATAAGTAAAGACAAGGAGGAGTCATGCTGTTGTCTCAAGGGCAAGGATGTCATAATCTAACACAATTCTAGTTTCTGCTCCAGTCCACCCCCAATTTCTACAACTCTCTTCAAAGAGCTGAGTTGAGTGAAACAGGTTTTTCTGGCTCCCTTGCAATGCCAAAGTCTCATTAACCAAAGCCAATATTGATTCCATTTAATTTAGATTTTTAAATTTATTATTTAAAAAGCCCTAAGAAAAACAGCAATGTTTGTGGCTACTGGTGTACAAACCAATTTTACATATCGTGTTCACCATAGCAATTTCACAGAGAACCCAATTCAGTTCACTCGTGTACTCATGATTTCATGCCTCTCCTCTAAGCCTACCACTCAGGTCAATCAACGCGCTTTTACAAACTCAAAAGTGTATTTCACAAACCTAGCAAAATTTAGCATGGGAACACTAACAAAGCACAAGACTAACAAATTAACAGCAACAAATCTGGGTTCTCAAAGAAGCAAGAAGCTAGGGAAGGTATTTTTAACTGAATTATTAGGAGATAAGAAATATTATTTGAAAATGGGATAGGCATCTAAGAAAGAAAAAACATAGGGGCGGGTTGCACACATATATAATTTAAGGAAAAAGCTCAACATCCAGGCCCAAAATTCTATTTAAAAAGAAAATTTGATTCAAGATAAGATATAGATATAGTAGATGTGGATTTACGGCATGTTATATGAAGGCTTGAAGGGAGAGAACTGAAGTGAATTTCTCAACAAACTTCAGGTAAGAAAAGACTTAAAGTTTTCTTCTTGATTAATATCCACACCACTAATGCCTATAATATAGAAAAAACTAATAATTTTACATTTCTATTCTTGAGTGTCTAAACTTGTTCCCAATAATTTAATAATGCTAAGATAGAGTGGAAGTTAAACTGTGGGTAGAGGGGTTAAGAAAAGTAAAATACACTCTCTTCTGCTCAGGGTGGGAAAAACAGGACATAAACTGAAATGCTGACAAAGAAAACAGATTGTGCACAATTTTAAAAATATGGACTGATGTTTAATCCATACAAAACCTATTTAACAATCATGCCTCTAGAACGTATTTTACTTACAATTATTTGTCTCTCACTAGGTTATCTCTCACTAGTTTCAACAGTCTCTGAAAGCTGGTTCCGCTCAATAAATATTTGCTAAATAATTACAATTTTTAAATATTTTATATTTTACACCTTACTTTAAAAGGTAAACAAATAAATACAATTTACTTCTCTAAGGATGAATAAAATTAGTTCTCTAAAAATGCCATCTTGCCCATATTCTTTGGAAAAAAAAAAATCGTTGCAAAAAAAGACAAATATTATAAAAAAATTTTTTTTAACTACTATCTGTATCACCTTGCAGAATACTTCAGAATAGTCTGGATTTACTACATATGTTATGCTTCTATTAATTAGGTACAACTGTCATTTATACAAGTATATCTATCACACATATACTACTTGAATTTTGTTCAAATAAGCTCTAAGAAACAATATAGTTTCTTTTCTTAGGAATCTCAATTTTTATTCCTTAGAATAAGTGAGCTATTGAAGAATGAAGTCACAAAAGTTCTAGAAAAAATATAAATGAACATTTTTATAACTCTCAGAATACAGAAAACTTGTAATAAATAGCATAGTAACAAGCCATCTAATAAAGGAAAGGCTGATCAACTTAAAATTTTTGTGCTTTGCAAGCTGTAAGTGATGGAACTGTTTCTTTACTTGTGTAGTAACAATGCCTTCTGTAAACCACTGAAAAAGTTAAAGGCAATGTAAAACTGGGAAAAATATTTCCACATGACAGTTACATAAATTAACAGATTTACAAAAAAAAAACACAAAAATTCAAAAAATAAATTTTAAAATGGCAAAATAACATCCCCAAAAATGCTCAACCTCACCAAGTAATTTAAAAATATACTAAATAAGACAATATTAAGGTATTTTTCATCTGTCGGACTTTCAAAGGTTAAAAATAATGTAAAATTCATTGTTGGCAAGGATGTGGGAAACTAGATACTCTCACACACTGCTGGTTAGAGTACAAACTAGCCTTTCTAGCAGACAATTACCTTTAACCCAGCAATTTCACTTCTGCCAACTTATACAAATAAAATATTCAGACAAATATGCAAAGACATACATGTAAGATTATAACAATAAATTCCCAACAAAAGATGTTAAATCACTCTACATCCATACAATAGAATACAACAGAATACTATACAGTCATAAAAACGATGCAGACTATACAGACTTGAAAATATGGTCACAAAAATTATCAAAACAAGAACAGACATATAAAACAGTGAGAAGAAGATGATTCTATTTTAAAATACATGTAACATCTTGAAGGACATATACAAACATGTTACTAGCTTATCTTGAAGTGGGGTGGGATTCTGGTGTTTTTAAATGTCCTATATTTCTGCATTTTTATGAGCATGTCTTAGTTTAATAAACATAAATTAAAACATTTTCATTTTAAAATAAAGAATAAATGAAACAAAGGCCAGGCCTCCATTAGATTTTTTGTGAATAATTTATCTTAAAAGTCCCTCTAAAATGAGTTTCAGAAAAGTTACTGCCTAGCTAGAATTCACAATTTTAATTGACCAAAATATGTCAAAAAACAAACTTTTAAACTAATTACAACAAACATGAATACCTAAGGATCCGATGTAGAAAGAGAGTCACTTGGGAGGCAGCATAGTTTAACGGTTAAGGCTCTGGGTAAAACTAGGTCCGAATCCCTGTTGTGTGTGCTCTTCAGAGTCATTCAACCTCTCTATGTCTCACTTCTAACACCATTGGGAATACGGTAAGCTCTCAATGTTACCAGTTGTTAGCAATTATTATTACTGCAAAGGGCTGGCCAATGTGCAACTCAAAGGCAGATAGAAAAGCTCTATTAGATCAAGTTTGTTAACTGTATTAAAAGTACATTTTATCTACTTAAACAGTGCATTTCTAAGAAAGGTATGTTAACTTTCACCATGACAAGGTATTTGGTTAGGTATGGCTTTAGAGTTCTATCCATTTTTGCTCTATATATTTCAAAGCTGCACAAAAAAGGGACTGTGACTATTAAATCTTCTTGGTGGAAATTTAGTATTATTAACAAGAAATACATCTCTGTCTCATTTGGGGCTTTCACCTCAATCCCACCTCGTGTAATATATTAACTCTGCTACCCAAGTTTTCTTTTTGTTAATACTTGCCTGATAAATCTTTTCCTATCCCTCATCTTCAATATTTCTGTGCCAATTATTTGAGGTGTTCCTTATAATCAACATCAGTCTGGATCTTTTTTTTTTTTTTTAAATATGATCTGAGTCTCAATCTCCTAATTATTAAGCTTAGTACATCCACATTTAACATAATCTCTGATCATTTTAAGTTTACTCCAGTCATGTTATTCTGTCTTAATGTTTACCTTTAAAAAGACTGAATTGAAATACAATCTCATTTTTTTAAAAATTCAATCTATTAAGGCTTATTTTTCACTTCTACTGAAAATGGAAATATTTATGCTTATCAGCCATAGATGAACTTAATCTTTATGTAACTACTATTCTCAACCTAAAAATCAATTTTTTATCTATATTTAAGGCAAATTCCATTGCTGGTGTGCAAACACGCTAATTTCTGATTGGTGTGGGCCTCTTAAATGGCATCTGCTATACTGTTTTTGAAACAGCAAACTAATAATTTCAGTTTAAAAAACATTTAGAACTGAAAATCCAATTCCATATATTTTGTTCTCTAACTTCTGCCACACGCATACACACACACCCAAAATGATCATGTAATGAATAATTTCTCATAATTAAATGACATAGCATGCAGTATTTCAAAAATTAGAATGATATTAGCACTCTTAAAAATATGTATGTTTCATGTATGCATACCTTCCACCACCTTCTTTACAGTTGGGACAGGTGCAAGCTACCCTCCGAAGTCTTTTTCCTTCTTGATGTTGTTGGTCCCCTTCTTCATCTACCACCTGTACTCTTAAGTGTGTTAGGTCATTGGTATTCAAGGTAGAATCACCACTGAGCTGCCACTCTTCAGGATCAGGTTCTTCTTCCTTGATCCTAATATCTACAGGAAAAAACAAAAATAAAAACAAAAAACAAATACAGATGAGAACCAAATGGCCCAAAAAAATAGCATGAAATTACATGTCCTCTCCCAATGTCACACCCTTGCATGTACTACTTCTCCTGCCTAGACTATTTTCTAGTTACTTTGTTCCTCATCTAACTAACCTCTATCTATCCTTCAAGACTAGTTGGAGAGTAATCTCCTGTATAAATGCTTATAGTAGAATTAATTACATTAATTAGTTCATATGTCCCTTTAGATAATAATTGCTTCACTCAAAGTTCTCAGAAAATACAATCTCCCTAGATGAACAAATCTTCCTTAAGAAGGAACTTCCAAAATAGGTAATAATCGATCTGGAAAAACTTTGTCCTCTGCTTTTCTATGCCTTCTATGTGCAAATAATACACAGAGATGTTACAAGATTAAGCTGATACAGATGAGACCACAAAGTGCTCACTAAAGACAATAAATTGCCCAAAAAGTGTTATACCCAATTTCTAATCACTGCATTCATTCATACACATCTGGGTATACTTTCAAATTCTCACCATAAAATCAATTAATGTAGTAAGCCCTAAATAATTCTCCTTTGCATACCAACTTAATACAGATACCTTAAATATAAGTCATCAGTACCAGGCACATAAGTTTACATCTTCCTTCGTATCTCAGTATAGATGAAAGGAAAACACTTTTTTTTTACTGTGCTGTATTAATGTCCTACATGGTAGCTAGTCATTCTTAGAAATCCAGTATTTATCAGGCTCAGGAGAAACGAAAGTAATAATCCATCAAAATGACCCATAAAAGTAAGAAAAGGTACGCAACATTGTTAAATATCAGGGAAATAAAAATTTAATTCACAATGAGGTATCATTACCCACCCACAAAATGACTAGAAATTTTTAAAACAGACCCGTACAGACTGTTGGGAAAGAAGTGTAACAACTGAAACTCCCACAGTGATGGTAAGTGTGTAGATCAGTACAACCACTTTGGAAAATCTTTCGTCTATATCTTCTAGAAGTGAAACTATGTATTCCCTACAGCTCAAACAATTTCCCCCTAGGTACACACCCTACAGAAATGCATACAACACTTAACACCAAAATACAAGTATAAAACTTACACGTCATTTGTAATCACCCTAAACTAGAAAAACTCATATATCCACCAGTATTGGAATGGAAAAACAAATCATATTTGTTCATACAATGGAACATATTAAAACAATGAACATTAACAACCACCTACATGCAACAGAAATGACTCTCAAAGCATTTCGAACAAAAGAAGCCCCCTGCACCCGGTATGTATTCCCTTTATACACAGGGAATGGGACCGTGTGTGATATTTATATAAAGAAATTTTCATTTATATAAGATTCATAACAACTGGCAATGATTCCAACCATATGACAGGTCGGAAACGGCAAAACTATGGAGACAGTAAAAAAAATCAGCGGTTGCCAGGAATTAAAGGGCACGGAGAGATGAATAGGCACAGCACAGAGGTATTTTTATTCTAGAGTAGTGAAAATACTATGTATGATGTAATATAGGTGGATGCATGGCATACATTTGTTCAAACTTACAGAATGTATAAACACGAAGAGGAAACCCTAATGTGAAGTATGGACTTTGGGTGATAATACATCAAGCAAATTCACCAACTGTAACAAATGAACCACTTTGAATGATGGGGGATGCTGACATAGGGAAGGGTATGCACGTGCAGGGGCAGGGGGGTAAGGTGTATCTCTATACTTTCCTTTCCAGTTTACTAAGCATCTAAACTGTTCTTTAAAAAATTATTTATTTATTTTTTTTATTTTATTTGAGGCAGAGTCTTGCTCTGTCACCCAGGCTGGAGTGTGGTGGCATGACCTCAGCTCACAGCAACCTCCGCCTCCCGGGTTCAAGCGATTCTCCTGCCTCAGCCTCCCGAGTAGCTGGGATTACAGGTGCCCGCCACCATGCCCGGCTAATTTTTGTATTTTTAGTACAGACAGGGTTTCACCATGTTGGCCAGACTGGTCTCGAACTCCTGACCTCAAGTGATCCACCCACCTCAGCCTCCCAAAGTGCCGGGATTACAAGCATGAGCCACCGAGCCCAGTCTAAAAAAACATTATTTAAATGTTAAGGGAGTGGGTGCTCCATGGCGATAGAAGAGTGGTGACTGCCTACTTTTGAGGGAAATATATGACTGAGTACAGGGAGATTTCTGGGTTGCTGGTAATATCATGTTTCTTGATTTGGGTGGTAGTTCTCCTATGTGTTCATTTTGTAAAATTTCATCAAGTTATATACATATGATCTGTATATTTTTTGAATGCACATTATACTTCAATATAAAGATTATTCTAAATTAAATACTTTAATGTAATTTATAGGTGATTAGGAACTGTTAAAGACAGTTTTTTTGCTTTACCTCTAGTTCCCACATGGTTTACTAAACCTTCCCCCATTTTTACACAAATTTAAAAAAAAACTTAAAATGAGTGTGTCCCACAAATTAAATTCATAATATGAAATTTAGAATATAATTTTATTCATTCAACAACTATGTGTACGGCTACAATGTGCCAGTCACTGTTCTAGGTTCTAAGGATAAGGCAGTTAGCAAGTTACAAGTTCAAGCTGACTGGGTGTGTTGGCTCATGCCTGCAATACCAGCACTTGGGGAGACTGAGGCGGGAGAAACGATTGAGCCTAGGAGTTCAAGACCAGCCTGAGCCAACAGAGAGAGGTCCCGTCACTATCCAAAAACAAAACAAAACAAAAAACAAAACAAAACAAAAGGCAAGGCAGACATGGTGGCACATGCCTTGTGGTTCCAGCTACTCAGGAGACTGAAGTAGTAGAATCACTTGAGCCCAGGAGGTCAGGTTGCAGTGAGCCATGATCACATCACTGCCCTCCAGCCTGGGCAACAAAGCAAGACCCTGAAATAGATTAGATATTTGTCCCCACCCAAATCTTATGTTGAAATGTAATCCCCAATGGTGGAGGTGGAGCCTGGTGGGAGGTGACTGGATCAAGGGGGCAGATTTCTCATAAATGGTTTAGCACCACTGTCCTGGCACTGTTCTTGCAATAGTTAAGAGATTTGGTTAAGCATGTGGCACCTTCCCTCCTACTCTCTCTTTCTCTGTCTCTCTCCTCCCCCTACTTCTACCATGTGACGTGCCCATTCCCCCTTTGCCTTCTGCTATGAGTAAAACCTTCTTGAGGCCTTCCCAGAACCAGATGCCAGCACTATGCTTCTTGTACAACCTGCAGAATTGAGTCAATTAAACCTCTTATAAATTACCCAGTCCCAGATATTTCTTTATAGTAATACAGGAATGGTCTGACACAGTCTTAAAAAGAGATGATGGTGGCCTGAAGCTAGGGTATTGATGAGGAGGGGTAGAATTGGTCAGTCAGAAAATATGTTTAAAGTAGAGTCAAAGACATCTGCTAACAGATTGATAACAGGTTATCATGTGAGGAGCAAGAACAGAAAGAAGTTAAAAACACTCCCAAGGTTTTTGTTTTGTTTTAATCCTCAGCAACTAGAAAGATGGACTTGCCATTGACTGAGATAGGGTAAACTGAAGATAGAAAAGACTGCAGGGGAGGGGTGCCAGTCAGGGGCCTATTTTGAAATATGAAAGTTCTGAATGCCTATTGAATATCCAAATGAAGGTGTTGATAAGGCAGTCAATGGGTTTGGAGTTCAGGTAGAAATATGGCCTGACAATATCAGCATATATGTTAGGTATTGAGAGTCATCTGGAATATAATGTAGACAGGAGGAAACCCCGCAGCACTCCAAAATTAACAAGCAGAGATTAAAAAGAACCAGCAAAGGGGACTGAGAGTGGCCAGTGAGATATGAGGCAACTGGTGTCAGAAGTCAAACTGAAGAAATCATTTCGAGAAGAACATAACTGTGTCAAATACTTAAAAAGTCAAGTAAAACAAGGACTAAGAAATGATCCTTGGATATAACATTGTGGTAATCACTGGTGATCTTGACAAGAACTGTGAGCACAAAACTCCGCCTAGTACAGACTCCAGAAAGTGGAAGGAGATGAACTGTAAACAAGTACAGGTAACTGTTTCCAAGAGTTTTGCTGTAAAAGCAAGCATTATAAAATTGGCAGTACAGCTCCTAGGTTAGCCCACAAAGGTAGATTTGACACATAAGGGTACCTGAAATATTTGTATATCAGCCTTTATATTCTGTAGCAATAGTGTATGCTAGCAGTATAAAGAAATGAATGTGCTTATTTACATCTGATTAATATTTGAGGAAAAGTATGCAAAAAATTTAAGCAATGAAAAGAGAAATACAAGGAAATGTGCATGACACATTTAAGAATTTTATAAACAGCACTTCTTTTTTTATTATGTCTATTTTCCACCTCAAAATGTTTCCTTTTCATTTGGCGAGGTATCGCACTGACAGTATCTCTGTCCTGTGATTATGGTTGTTTTCAAGGCCTACCAATAAAACAAGCTTGCAAAAGGGATATGTACAAAAGAAAAACAATTTCTGCACACCTGGGCAAGAATTGAAGAGAAGAAAACAGAAAATTTAAATAATGAAATATACACATACACACACAAACACAACATGGTTACAAAGATAAGGCTAATTTTCAATATTAGTTAAGTATCAATAACTCAGGGCATGCCTAGATTTCTATTAAAAATATTACAAGAAAATCCTAAATACCTCTTCCTAAAATTAACTGCTAATTACTTATCAATACAGCTAATAGAACATTTAAGATAAATTCTTAACCAATTTATCAAGTCTGGAACACGCGTATTTAATTTAAATAGCTAACATTAGATAAATATGAATTACAGTATGGTTGATAAAATGAGACATTATCTTTTATCAATAGTGTGCCATTAAGATTTTGTTGTTCTTATCAAAGTCTTTCATATTTTCTGCCTTCAACTTTTTTAAGCACTGATGAAATTACTTCATTTGAT